GCACTTTTAGGTCGACCTCATATAGGATTAGGTTGACCTAATTTGCACTTTTAGGTCAACCTTATATAGAATTGGGTCGACCTAATATGCACTTTTAGGTCGACCTAATATGTCATTTCATTTTTGTGAGGACGTTCAACGACACGGTTGACCTTTTATAGCAAATGGTCGACCTCTTTGGGAAGGCGAACAGAATGAAAGGTCGATCCAAATACCTCATAGGCCGACCATTTTGATTAACTGAGGTTGACCGCATAAGTACGAGGTCGACCGCGTGCACACCTTATTCATATTGGATAAGGATTCCAACACCAGAAAGGTAACCCTAACTTATCTACCACTTAATTCGACTCATTCTCGTCCTGAATATCTATAAATACGAATATATGTCACCTTCACCGCCACCGAAACTCTGAATTAGGTTTTTTTACTGTTAGAGCTTTTGTGAAGAAGATCCTTTGTGGTTGCTGTTGTACGTGATTCAAGAGGTCGACCACGTGGAAGTTATGAGTCCTTGTTATCATTATTTATGATTGATTCTGTTGGTTTGAAACGTAATTTGTACAAGCAAAAGAACCACCCACATCGACATACATAAGCAAAAAAGACGCAGGGCATATATTGATTTTCTTGTATTCAGTCAACCTCGTACCGGATTAGGTCGACCGCGAAACCAACACTTGATCTTCATTTTATGTCAAATGATGATGGATAAATAGATACAACACTTCTCTTCTATGTGGTCGACCTCTTTCTGTAAATGGTCGACCATTTTGTTAATGACCATCATCAAGTGGTCGACCTACATACCTTTACGGTCGACCATTTTACTTCTGATGCCAATGAAAAGGGCGACCGATGTTTTATTGTGGTCGACCAACAATGACAACTTAAACTACAAACGGTCGACCATTACATTTTAAAGGTCCACCGTGATAAGTCACCAGGGTGCCAACATTAGTGTATTCGAGAACCTCACAAAACTGAAACGACATATTAGGTCCACATAATCCTATATGAGGTCGACCTAAAAGTGCATATTAGGTCGACCTAATCCTATATGAGGTCGACCTAAAAGTGCACGTTACGGTGACATCCATGTTACCATAGGCATACCCAATGTTTTATACGTGTTTAATACGTGAAAGATCAACTAAACATAAAATAATGAAACAACTCTATCATAGTACGTAACGGGAGTTATCTTCAAAAAATGTTTATGAAGTTTAAATGTCTACCGATGTCCAACCACGTGGGAATGCCATCTTACAAGTATACTTTTTATTTTAGAATTGGATGGTTTTATTAAAGTTCTAAGTTTCAATTCATGTATAAGAGATGTGTTGTGAAGATAACTTTATGAAGTAGAAACTTTACTAGGAATTCCAGCTTTCAAGTATAATGTTTTTATTATAAAATTTCATGGTTTTATTAAGTCTAGGATTCAATTCGGGTACAAGAGATGTGTTGTGAAAATAAAGAAGTAGAAACATTACTCAATTCAATAAAATTCTTATTAAGGCTATAAATTCTATGTTCATGGACCATTTCATTCCTCTCTATCTCTACATCAAAGTAGTAAATATTTCTTAGTTTAGTACTTACGATGTTATTTATCATCTATTCGCGATTGGCCACATTTGCGGATGAAAAGTTATTCACATAAATTGGAGCTACCTTGGTGCTACCTAATCTTGATTTTCCTAAAGTGATTGAACTTCACACAATGTAACATTCTAACAATATTAAAAAATCTTTCTTATTAGGTTGAAACTTAAAAATGCAACTTAAATTATTTTTTTATTATTTACTTAAGATGTTATTTAACATCTATTCGTGCTTGCCCACCTTTGCGGATGAAAAGTTATTCACATAAATTGGAGCTACCTTGGTGCTACCTAATCTTGATTTTCCTAAAGTGATTGAACTTCACAAAGTAACATTCTTACAATATTAAAAAATCTTTCTTATTATGGTGAAACTTAAAAATTCAACTTAAATTATTTTATTTTGATTATTTTATGATAAAATATGAGACTAAGCTCCTATGGTTGCTTGAGAAAAGACTATTCATTCAATGTCAGTTGATGATGGAGATTCTTGATGACAAAAAATTGATATCTTATTTTGGAATACCTATAATATTGTGTCATTAAGTTTAGCATGAGTTGATATTCCCTTGCATGAGTCCTGTCATTATAAATTTAATTTTAACCTAAATCTGCATAGAATACAATGATTACAATGTAGTAATATGTATAATGGATGCTCCTATCGATGATTGAATAATTTGACTTTCTTATTAGTAAAAACTAAGAAACTACATGTTAAATTTACCATTTTTTTTGTTAATTGGCATGACATATTGACATATAATCATGACACAAATATAAGAGGAGAGAAATATTATTGAAATTTAAACTAGAAACCTTCGTTGAAATTTTGTTATAAGAGTGACATAGAAACCTTTGTTAATTGATGTTTTTAAATTGCAACCGACTTGCTTAATGGTAAAAATAAATTAAAAAAAATCCTTCCTATCTTGTAAAATGATAAGGCAAAATACACTTGTGTAGCCAAAACTTTGACGGTTTGTCCAAATATAGCCACTTTCGGCGAAATACAAAAAATAACCACTCCCGTCCAATTCTTTAACGGCGTGCTGACTAGACTAACGGATCGTCATATCTGGCAATTTTTGTTTGGTACGTATTTCCCACTTGGATTTAATTAAAAAAATATAAAAAATTTGAAGAAAATGGAAAAAGACAATCTGCCTTTTCCTCCCACCTACCCACCCACAAATTCACCTCCCTCCGCCACTACACCAACTTCTCGTTCACCCACCATCGCCGACCCTCTCTTTCTCATCCTCAGCGTCACAAAAATCCTTTTCCTCTCCACGATCCCCTGCAACCATTCCAATACGTAAAACATCAATCTATCTCCTGATCTCCCTCAATCTTCCCCGGGTGCAGCTGCTCACCGTCGATTGTCGGCGGTAGCTTTGAAAATCGCCCAGATCTGAAAATTACGCCCAAGAACCTGCTTTAAGAACTTGCTTCGCCTTCTCCAATTGACTCTCCTCCACCGAAATTCTAGTTTCTAGTTGTAGAATTTGATGATGCGGAAATACGAAAGAACACGAGTTTTACGTGGTATCCTCGATCGATTGATTGATCGAGACTAATCCACGGTGAGCTCGGAACGAGGTCACGACTGATGTTTTATTATACGACTACATCTTGACGGCTTGCTTACGACATGACCGTAGCTAAGCTTTTATAGATATAAACTTAGGGTTAAAACCCTAATGACAACCAAGTTTCCTTCTTTGACAAGGACAAGGAAACAAGGGACTTGGAGGACAAGGAATTAATTATTTTTTACTAAATAATTAATATCCTCAACACTCCCCCTCAAGCGAAGACATGAATGACAAGAATGTCGAGTTTGAAAAAGGAAATGTGACGAATAAGCATGACAACCTTGAACAACATAACTCGAGATGAATAACATCTCGGACGAGGTTGATTTGGAGACGACTGACTCTCTCCCTTGAACAACCTGATGGAGACGGTTGACTGTGTCTTCTTGAACGAACTGACGGAGACGGTTGACTACGTCCCTTGAATGACTTGACGGAGACGATTGACTACGTCTATCCGTATGATATGGTGGAGATGGTTGACTGCATCTCCTGAATGACTTGACTCCCTATTTTGTTTTATTTCAACCGAAGCAGCAACATGCTTCCTCCCGCCTCGCCGTAGCTGCGGCGATGGATTTTGGTTCTCAATTCGGAGCCAGACAGCGATGGAAGTGAGCTTTCTGAGCTTGATCTCGTCGCCACCGTGGAGGTCGTACTGTTGAAGAGGAGGAAGTTGGGAGGAGTTGAGGGTCGTACCGTTGGAGGAGTCTGAATTCCGATTTGATTGCGCGGTGTTTGGATGAGATGCGAGGGCTGCAATTGGAGATGCGAGGGGCTGCAATAAGAGGTTTTGGGCTCCGAAATCCACTGAGAGATGTTTCGCTGGATCAATCTCGGAAGAAGAACGGTGGGGTGGAGTGGAGATGGTTTTGCATCTGACTTTAGATGGAAAATTGTGGTCGACGGTGAGGGGAGGCGGGGCAATTTTTTGGTTTTTTTTTTGTTTATAAATGATTTTTTTGTTAATAAATTAATCAAATATTTTTAAATGAAATCTGACGTGTCACGTATATGTGGCAAGTGTTGGTGAGTTGTCAATGATGTGTTAGGTGACTTGGCAGCCAGATCATCGTTTCGTTAATTTGACTAACGGTGTTACTGACGCTGTCAAACTATGTAACGGAAATGGCTATTATTGTCATCAAACTTTCAAATTTCTGACTATTATTGGTATTTCTCTAAAAGTGACTATTATTGTCACAACCGTCTATGTTTTGACTACACAGATGAATTTTGCTAAATAATAACATTGTTTGTTAATTCACATTGACATATAATCATCACATGAATTGATGAGAATGAACATATTACTGAAATTTAAATTTGGAACATATTTTATTATTATCACTCGTATATCTCCAAAAGTCCATCTTAACATTTGAACACGAGCTGCGGATAACAACATGTAACAATGGTATTATCACTCGTATTGAATCTCAAAAGTTTTATATTAGAATTCTGTAAATAAAATCTAATTATAAAGATAAAATATATATTACTTTTATAACAAAAAAAATATTTAAGATGGGGAACTGCTCCTGATCTAAGGTTGGATTAGTTTTTTATGACTATACCGATCATTTTCGAATGACTGAATGGAATGGACTTTATTTTGCTTGCTCCGGTCTCTCTGTCTTAGAGGTTTCAATTCATCTCCTACCTTACTAAATTGGACCGTATTAGAGCAGGACAAGAAGTGCTTTGTACTACGATATAGAAACACACAACTTATCTTTAACAATGATGAAATAGTGACATCTATCCCAATAACTTAATACTCCTAAATAAATGGTATACCAAATATCCAAAGGGATAATAAGAGCATGTAAAACAAGCTAGCTAGTTTCAGCGGTACGTGTGAATGCTGTATGCGCAACCTCATCCCCAACCTCTCTATAAAAAGGACCCTTCAGCTTCTCACAAAATGCACCACCCCAAACCACCAATTGCCCTAGTGAGGCAACAATCCCTACCCCTTTTCCACTCCCACATGGCTTCCAAACTTCTTCTGCTGTTTCTCTCGAGCCTGCTGGCTCACAGCATTGGCTTAGGGATGACACAGTCCGTCGGTCCTGTCGTTCCTTACGACCCTTGCTTAGATCTAAACGACTACCAGTACCGGCCATCGGAGGAGCTGCCCTATGGTCGTTGGAGTTTCCCCGACGGCTTCGTGTTTGCCTCAGCCACAGCTGCTTACCAGGTAGAATTATGTATTATCTCAGTTACTTACAAGTTACTTACAGTATCTATTGCTCTCGTTCCCATTCTTAACCTACATCCACGTTATGTAACACCAATGCTCATTAAGCACAGTATCACGCCGACAGTGCTTAAATCACTACTATGATACCATTTCAAGAACCAGTTGATCCCAAAAACTCAAATTGTTAAGAGATGTTTCATAATGAATCTTATATCACACACCGACGACAACAAGGACATGACTTCTGTATATACCTATAATAACCCCAGATCGATCGAACTGCACCATTGGACTGTATCTATATAAGGACTATGGACTGATTTGTTTACCGTGATCAAGCTGAGAAGCTTATGACCATAACATAATTCATGAAAGAGGAGGCCTTTTCACAAATATTTATCTCGTGGTTTTTGTTTTATTTATCTCATTTCTGGTTTCGTACGTATATAGCTAATTATATTGTTTCCGTTATTAACCCTTTCTTTTGTCATTGTTGTTGTTCGTTTTGATTCTGTGGGGTGAAGATCGAGGGTGCTGCTAATCAGTCTTGCAGAGGCCCGAGTGTTTGGGACAGATTCGCCCATGAGTTTCCAGGTCTGTTGTAACTTATAAATGGCTTTAATTACCTCCATTACTGCAGGTTAGGGTTTTGGTGGTATAAATGGTATGTTTATGGTTGCAGAGAGGATAGCCGATGGGAGCAATGGAGATGTGGCGCTGGACCATTATAACCGGTTGGAGGTATAGATTTCTCATGTGTATTTATATATTGGGTTTGACTTTCCTTACAATAATTTATTTGTTGATTAATTTGGAATTTTCCTTCAATGTGTATATACAGGAGGATATCATCAGGATGAAGTATATGAATTTGGATGCCTACCGATTCTCCATCTCCTGGACTAGAATCATACCATGTGAGCAATATTATCTCTTCTGTTTGACTTTTCCCCATTTTTGGAGTTTTATTATAGTTGACTTATAATATGAGTCGTTGCATGCAGATGGCAAGATCCAGACCGGAGTCAATGAGCAAGGAATCAAGTTTTACCACGACCTCCTCGATCTGCTCGAGAAACATGGTACGTACGTAGAATAATTAATTCAAATGTGGCCTTAAGTACTATTTGTGACTGATGAGTCAGACAACTGATGCAATAATTAATGTTTCGTTTAATTTGTAGGACTGGAGCCTTATGTGACCATATGGCATTGGGATACCCCTCAAGCCCTGGAAGCTGAGTATGGTGGATTCTTAAGCCGTAACATTGTGTAAGTAATGCCAAAAAATTGTATATTTGATACATTTGTTTCACATGGATTTTTTTTATTTCTTTGTGTTAATTAACCATGTCCGTTATATATGTGGTTATGCAGGAAGGATTTCGAGGATTACTGTGACTTCTTGTTCCAGGAGTACGGCCACAGAATAAAAAAGTGGATCACCTTGAACGAGCCAGTGACCTATGTGATGAGAGGTTACGACGAAGGGCTGCACGCACCGGGCCGCTGCTCCGTATGGGCAAACCGAGCCTGTGTAGCCGGAGACTCCGCAACCGAACCTTACATCGTCACCCACAACCTCCTTCTGGCTCACGCCGCTGGTTACCGTTTGTATGAGAACAAGTACAAGGTCGGTATAGTCTACTAGCTAGCTTTACCTTGATATATTCCTTAATTATAAACGTTTGTTTTCCTTCTTTTTTATGACTGTGATCACCTGCAAAAAACGAATGCAGGCGAAGCAACAAGGGGTGGTAGGGATCACCATAGTCACGTTCTATTTCCTTCCTTACTCTGGTCAAACAGCTGACGTCGATGCTGCCCAGAGAGCTCTCGACTTCATGTATGGCTGGTACATGGATCCCATTACCTTCGGTCACTACCCGAGAAACATGGTGGATCTGGTGGGATCTCGTCTACCGACCTTCACAGAAGAAGAGTCTCACATGCTCAAGAACTCGTACGATTATCTTGGCCTCAACTATTACACCACCTACTACGCCAAGAACAACACCGAGTTCGACCCCGTGCACCTCCGATACACTCGTGATTCCCAAGCCCTTACTACCCGTACGTGTACTCCTTTCCTTCCTGCGTCGAAATATGCACTAATTGATTATTGTGTTCGATCAAGTACTTATTCTGAAGCAATGATATTACTTGTTTCAACAGCTGAAAAAGATGGAGTCCTTATTGGTGACCAGGTACGTCTATAGAACATGATAAGATTTGTCAGACTATTATATAAACAAATTAATATATATAAAACAAATTTTTATTAAATTTATTTGGTTTAATTTCGCAGATGGGTTCCGACTGGCAGTTTCTGTATCCTGACGGACTTCGATTGCTTTTGGAGTACACCAAAGAAACATATGGAGATCATGTCATTTACATAACCGAGAACGGTAACTATCTTTAGCTAAAATATCGATTACATACTCGTTAATTAATTAAGAAACCAGTAAAAAAAAAATAATACTATATTGACCAACTAATTAATTTTATTAAAAAATAAAACTATTAGGAATGGGGACACAGGACGACCCTAAACAGACACTCGCAGCGGCCAGAACCGACACCATGCGAATCACGTTCTACAACGCCCATCTCGCGAGCATTCGCCAGGCAATGAGGGAGAAGGAGGTGAAGGTGAAAGGGTTCTTCGCCTGGTCGTACGCAGACAACTACGAATGGAACGACGGGTACTCGGTCCGATTCGGGCTCTACTACATCAACTACACGGATATCTCCAGGCACCCTAAGCACTCCGCTTGCTGGTACACCAGTTTCTGCCGCCGATCCCAGCCCAAGGGCCCTACCGATAACAACCTCCACATGATTACCGCCGCCGGCGGACGCAAGGCACTCCGCCTTCCCACAGCTACTGTGTAACATCCCGTCTCGACGACGAGGGAACGTACAATGATGAAGAATAAGAAGGATCCGATCGACCGACGGTCACTACACTGAGCATGATCGTGATGAATACATGCAGCGAATAAGACATGCATCATGATGATGAGCAGGTGGCCTTGTGATCTGATTGTTCACTAATAATAATCAGTGTATTGTGTTTTCATTTTTCCTTTCTTTGTTGTTCAGTAGAAGACGACGGATGATATGTTGTACTGTGTACTGTTGTTGTTGTTCAAAAATGAATAAAACTATTACTAAATAAATAACGATTGTTGAATCCGTGATTAGTACTTTCCCAAAATAATTCACAGTAGTATTATTGACCCTCCAGTACGTGGTACTGTGGCGCAAACCCTAGCTAGCCAGCGTCGATCGTGTCCGTACGTTCGTTTTCCCACTAGCAGGCTGGTCCAGCCTTCTTCTTCTCTGGGCCGGGCTGGGCCGGCCAATGCCCTTGGCGGCAGGAATGGGGAATTGGTGAGTGAGTGGGTGACTTGACCAGCAGAGGGATAAGAAGCTTGTAGACGTGACAGCTGACAAAGATAGTTGATTTTTTACTGAAAATTGTATAATATTCTTCATTTAATCTCAGATTTGTGGCCTAAAGTGGAAATTGAAAATGATGGTTTAAAATGTGGATGTTCAAATCTACCCGGTTCGTACGAGTTAGACCTGGACAATACATATACATTGACAAACTAGATAAGAAAACAATGCGACAACCACCTTACCAAAAGAAGAAAACAATTAACCAAGACAAAATAGTAGAGATTTCCTACCGTAACTTCAAGTAAGGTAATTTGAAGTTTTTTATTTGCTATAGCACCTTTTACAGGTTGTATTATGTAAAATACGGGTTAATTGTATGGTTGGTCACTGAGATTATAAAAAACGTTCAAATTTAGTCACTCGAAATATTTAAATCTATTGGTGGTACTTGAGTTTACTGAAACCGTTCACGTTTGGTCACTCTCTGTCCAACTCCGTTAAATTTTGCTGATGTGGCAGTCAAACTCTCAAAGTTGACCGCTAACTTAGTGACGTGGCAACTAAAAAATTATTAAAAATAAAAAATAAACTTTTATATTTTCCATCTCATTATTACATTCATTAAAAAATAAAAAAAAATAAAAACCACCGCCGACTCGAACACAGAAATTATCTCTCGCCACCAGATCACCACCACCGTCGGCGGCCGACCAGACTCAAAAGAAGGAGCTCAACTTAGACGCGTCCACGAGAAAAACTACCTTTTTGCTTCTGTCGCCGCCGGCAGCACGACAACTCTCTTTCTCCTCCACCCGCATACAGCTCACCCTCTCTCCGGTGTCCTTCTCGTCTTGACAAAAACCAGAAACATCATAACCTTAAAATAGCCTTTAAACTACTCAAAACACATAAAATAACGGAAAGGCAGAGCTTACCCTCGCTGATGTTTCTTTCTCCCTTGCCGCGCGTTTCACCCCTACGCCACCGCCGGTACAGTCCGTTGCCGTCTATCATTTTCCCCCAACCGATTCCAAACCTAAAAAAAAGGGAAAACAAAACATTAAACCCAAATATTAAAACAACCCCAAATCGGAATAAAAAAAAACCAGAGCATACGAGCCCGTTTTCTCTGGTTTTTTATTTTTTATTTTTTAATGAATGTAATAATGAGGTGAAAATATAAAAAAAAATTATTTTTAATATTTTTTTAGTTGCCACGTCACTAAGTTAACGGTCAACTTTGAGAGTTTGACTGCCACATCAGCAAAAGTTAACGGAGTTGGACGGAGAGTGACCAAACGTGAATGATTTCAGTAAACTCAAGTACCACCAATGGATTTAAATATTTCGAGTGACCAAACTTAAACGTTTTTTGTAATCTCAGTGACCAACCATGCAATTAACCCCGTAAAATACAATAGGCATTACGTAATGGTTACGTAACATATGATAATCTTACGTAACAGTTGTAAAAGATCATTACGGAAGCCTTACGTAATAGAATGTGTCTTCACGTAATGAGTATTAACCTCGCGTTACGTAAAATGCTAAGTCATTACGGAAGTCTTACGTAACGCTACTGATTTAACTATTACGTAAGAAATAACTGTCGTTCCGTAACCTTTACGTAATGGAAGGACTTTTTACGTAATGAGTATTAACTTTGCGTTACATAAAGTGCTAAGTCATTACGGAAGCCTTACGTAACGCTTTCGATTTAACTGTTACGAAAGAAATAACTATCATACAGTAATAGAAAGGTCTCATTACGTAATGAGTATTAACGTCGTGTTACGTAAAGAGCTAAGTTATTACGGAAGCCTTACGTAACGCTTCTAATTCAATAAGAATTAAAAAAGGAAAGGTTAAAATATGGAAAGACAACTAAATGTGAAAAAGGAATGAAAAAAATAAAAAAGGTAACTTGGGATTGTGGTGACCGGCAACCCATGTTGCCATTTATTTTTTACTTATTTTTTTAATTTTTATTTCTTTAATCAATGGTTTAGAATAAGTTTTGTCAATTTTAACAATTTAGATCTATGCAAGTTACCTAACTTGAAATTATACCCAAGTTACTGTAGGAGATCCCAAAATAGTATTGAGGTTAACGCGATAAATTTCCTAGTCCAATGGTCCTCTGCCCGGCGATGCCTATCCAAAATGGAACCCTTTCAGGATAACATCTTCGATAATGGGAATAGTACTTAAGGGTGTGTTATTTATTGCAGGTAGGACTGGTAATCGGTTTGTAGGTTACCGATTAACCTGTTAGCCGACGGTATTGGTAGGAGGTAGCGAAACACCAAGAGGAGTCGGTATACCCACTCATATCCGGTTAGTAACCGACGGTTAGTTACCAAAACCTCCCTATGCAAAATGATGGAGGATCTCTCCCTCTCGCCGGTCCTACTTCTCCTCCCTCGCTCATCTCCAAGCGGCCAGCCCCCCTTCACCCACCCGATGCCATCAAGCTCACCGTCCTCCATCTCTTCTGCAGTTCGTATTGTTGGCTGCTGAGCGTCGAATCCTCATAGAACATAGCAGATCACTAAAGGAGCAGACCGAAACAACAACAACTTCTAGCAATTGCAAAACAGAAAAATGTAAGATTGCAACTTTAATTTATTGGTGTATCGAAAACTCACATTTGAACTTTTAACATAAACTTTGATATTTTGAGTGAAGTTATAAAACATAAACTTTGATATTTTGAGTGAAGTTATAAGAACATATGTTTTGAGTTTGTAATTTACCAACTTCAATTCCAATGATAGTTATACTGCGGGAGGTTCTTAAGTAGTCTGCAGTCTCGACTAAAGGTCTACAGACCCTCTCAATCTGAGTCCCCAGCGGGCGACTAACCTCCCCCGGAGTAAACAGATTGAGGCCCTAACGAACCAAACCTCCACTACCGAAGCAAATTCGGTACAGAATAGTGAATTGACTCCTCGGCTAAAGTTGTCAATTCACTACCTTCAATCAAGGGTGCTCTATCAACCTAGGCAGATATTCTCTTTCTAGGTCAAAGCAGAAATAACAGGAATTTGATCACGATTCATGCCATTCAATAAATCAAACCTCAATTGAACATAATCATATCACTGAATTTGTACTTGGGTTCATACAATCAGACCTAACATACAAATCTAGGGTTTTTCATACCCAGGTGAATAAGAAAGTTACTCTATAGAGAGAGATGAGAAATCTAGCTCAGATGCGGAACCATACTGTGAAGGATGAGAATCAGCTTCTAGCACTCAATCAGCTCTTCTCCAAGCTCAAGCCGGGCTCCAATGGTGATGGAGATCGATCAAGGACACTTGCAGAATCAGGTTCGTCACTTTCTCTCTCTAGATATCGCTTTTTCTCTCTAAAACTTGGAACCCTTCACTTTTGCCCTTCTTTTCCCTTAAGAAGCTGTATGTCGCGATCCCCGGTCTGAATACCCGGTCTGGTATTTTGGGTGGAGACCGGGTATCTTCAAAATGCACCGTCGGGGAACAGGGGTTAATCCCCGGTTTGGGCCAAGAACACCCGACCGGAGATTTATGCTTGATGCCCGGGGCCCCTTCTGTTTCTCAGACGCCCGAAACCAGTTTTCCCCGGTCTGCTCCAAATAATACCCGGCCGGGTATTTCTGCTCATGGCCGGGTATTTTGCTCCTCCAGCACACTTCATCCCAAACGTGCTCCTTTCGACCCGAAACTCGTTTCTTCGCCTCGATGCCAACACTAAGCCCTGAAATATGACATAAACGCACAACCTAGCGTGAAATCAGCTTAAAACACGAGAATCAACATCTCAAACGGCTCAAGAATAGGGGTAAAAACATGTGCAATCAATGGTCTATCACTTAGAGTGTTGGATTATTTGCCGGAAGGGACGATGTGGAATGTGAGAAGTGGTATGCCCTCTCGGTTCTGGCGGGATAGATGGCTCCAAGATGGGCCGCCTTTGGAGGAGTTTGCGATTGATCTCCCAGCTACAGTGTGGGGAGTTGCGGGTAGCAGAACTTGTTCTGAATGGGGATTGGAATCTGACTTTCATTCAAGCCTTCCTCCCTGAGGCTTTGATTCTTCACCTGAGATTACACCCGGTGCTGCACGGAGTAGAACCGGATGTCCCTGCTTGGAGGTTCTCGGATTCGGGGAAGTTCACTGTTCGGTCTGCATACGAGCTACTTAGAGACGGTGAGGAGGAGCAGGAGCGCCAGCCTGCGTGGAGGGCCATTAGGAAGCTTCAGGCACCCCAGCGCACGCGTACATTCTTATGGTTAGTGCTGCATAAAAAGCTTCTCACTAATGGGGAGCGCTGTAGATGCCATTTGGCCACGTCGGACCTATGTTCGGTTTGTGGCGGCGGCCCGGAAATGGTAATCCACGCAATTCGTGACTGTTCCTACGCACGAGCGGTTTGGTCGGAACTGCTGGAGGACGAGCCTGATCAAGTTTTCTTCCAGGAGGACTTAGCGAAATGGATATTGCACTATATATCGGGTAAGAGTTCGACTATTACCCCGATGACCTTCGCAATCATATGTTGGCAGCTATGGAAGAGTCAAAACTTGTGGGTGTTTGAGGAACAGATTGCGTGGCCGGAGCAGCTGGTTCGGAGGGCCAGGCTGTTTAGTGAGCAGTGCAAAGAGGGTTTCGAGAAGGGGAGCATTGCGGTGGAAGGTGGAAGGCAGGTGGTTCAGCGGATGGTCAGCTGGCAGCGCCTCCCTGTAGGCTAGGTTTGCCTAAATACTGGCGGGTCGGTCATTCTGGCGCAAGGG